TGGGCTGAATTGCACAAAACGCATGATCGCACCGGCTAGTCTGGTGCGCGTTGCCATTTATTAGTTTTGTACTGCAACAATTCCACAAAGCGTCGAGACTGTGTGTGTATGTGTGCTCCGAGTGCATTTTATTACCACTTAATGGCGCACTTTTGCTACATGGGATAGGTTTAACACGGTTTTCCTACACATTATTTTTGTGGTTTTTCAGGTCATTGATATGACAGGAAAGGAGCAGAAGGTGTATTCCGGTTATGACGCTTATGCAGCTAAAGCCAGGTACTATTTCACTGAATTTCTGCTAATGTCATTGAATGGTTGCAAGTATATGTTCGGACACCGCCCTCTATTTCGTTTCATGCTTTTTGATGGTAAACTAGTACAGGCACATGCCATAAGGTCAGATCCGCCGCCATATGCTTCTGAGTAACCCTCGAAAAAGGGCTTCGTGAATAAACTTACCATCTGGTAGTTGTCGCCATATGCTACTCAGTTAAGTTCTTTCCTGTTGCCTCTTCTTCTCACTGGGAGTGAATTTCGGATGAGATTTTGATTTTGACAGTATGAGTAGCAACAGTCCCTAAAGCGTTTTTTTACTTTTCGTGCTCAGATTATGTGTTTTTTGTTCTTTAATTTCATTAATTTCTGTGATGCCTTGAAAGAGGTATCATTTGGTAATGCTTCCAAAGTATTGTCGACGAACACAAAAACTATGAATTGTCTACCTGTTGGCAGAAAATATTTTTGGTACTTTCTGTGTCTGTGACAGTACCTATCCGCCAAATGTCTCAAAGCAAGCCATGTATTCGTCAGATCGGTGCAGCTGATTAAAATATCAAAACATTTCGTTCTCTGTCCGTGCGCACGTTTCATCGAGTAATGACCGGTCCTGTCCAGCTGTTTGCTTCTGGCTCATTGTGCATTGGCACTTTTATATAACGATTATTTTTTACATTTCAGGGCCGTTGCAAAAGCAGAAACAGAGCGACTTGCATTTGATGTGCCCGAGTTGATGCATAATTTGAATATACTGATCGATGAAACGGAAGAAACGATACGTCGTACCGATCGTCAGATGCGCTTTCTAAGGGTATAAATTTATTGCCGACTAAATTTCTCGCCTAGTGTCTAAAACTAAAAATAGAGTCGCTTTTCACCGTGGCCAATACGATCTTTTTTTGCCGTTGTTGCAAGAGTTAGAAGTTGCGAGTTCCAGAAGTATAAGTTACGAAGTTACTAAACTTTGGTTGATGCTTGATTAGGATATGGCAGAGCCCAGGAAAGGATTTTATGCTTTTTAAGCTTTCTGATGAACCAGTCCATCAAAATTTTTGGCTAACGGATCTTTTGGTTTTTGAGTTGCAAATTTAGCCCGAACTCGAGGCTTAATTGGAAATTCGATGTTGCTCATACATTAAAGATAATGTTATCTTGTAGGATCAAACAACAGCCCTTGAAAATGATCGTGAGCAAATAAAAGCTGCGCTGGAAAAGGAACGCGAGGAACAAAACCGGATGGATCAGTTGGTTCAACTTTTAGAAGGGTACGGATTGGAATTGATTAAAGAGGTTCCTATCGGTCATTGCTCAAAAAGCTAATTGTTTAAGGCGAATCCTCCGCCAGATTCTATTTAAGGGATGAATTTGACAGATACGCACCACACACAGACACACATAAATACATGTGTATACACCCACACAGATACGCGTGTGCAAGATTATAAAACCGCCGCAGTTGCTTGAGCTTCTTTTCACTGTTTCAGATTCTCATACAGAGCGAAATTTTTGTTAATTCTTGGCTTTGATTGATTTGAGATGTGTTTATAATTGTATTAAACTTCCACAATTACACTGTTTTAGTTTTCTGGTGGTTTTTTCAGATTTACTGAATTATGTGATGCAGATGAAGTGACTCTAGATCATTGTCGGGAGTTATTCCATACAATGCAAAGAGAGTTCTACGAGGAGTATCGTTTGTTTAAACTGGAAGAAGTTGCTATCGCTAGTGTTCTACCACTGGTAAGTGCTTGTAAATCTCAGAATATCTGATCCGACACGGGAGTTGAACTGATAGCTCGGTGAGGGAAAAGGGGGGGGGGGGATCACCTACACATTACCACCTACCTGCCAGTAATGCATTGTCGGAACCGTTTCGACGTTCCAGACCGTCAGATCCAAACCCACTTTGTAGGTGGGCCTCACTTTTTCCTTCCTTCATCCGTTCTTTATCCTGGGAATAAATCAAAATGATTACAATACATTAAAAAAAGGAAAAAATAAAATTGCATTTAAGATTTTGCAGCAACGAAATCGCAAGAGATATGCATTGAAAAGTCTAAGATGTTTTTGATTAGTTTTTCCTTGCGACGGTGCTCTTTCCGTAATTTTCGAATAGTAGCGAGACATATCTTTATTGTAAAAATACAATTAATAGTGGCGACAATCATAATAACAATTACTGGTATTGTTATTAATTGCAGATAAAGCGTTACTTTTCCACATGGGATGCGCTTGGTAGTACACATGCGGACTACGGTATTGCTTTGATGACTGAGTGGAAAAGAATACTGGAAGTGGAGGAAAGAGGGATATTCAACACCACAAAAAGTCTAGGCTCGTTTTTCTAAGTCTCTTTTCTTTGCTTACATTTTTGTTGAACAGTTTTTTGAACGTATTAATTTTTGGATTATCAAGAGTGCCCGAACTATCATTTTGGAGCTCTCGAACTTACTGAGATGCAGGATTTTCAGTCTAAGCTGCAAATCGAAGTTTACGCTTTTCATTACATTCCACTTATGTCTTCTGATACCTCCGAATGTTTATTTCCTGTGGGTCTTGCACCTTGCACTGTTATTCGGATTTCGCAACTTATAAGGAGCATGCTTGCACATTAGGTTTCATTTCTGTCCTGATCGCAAAGATGTCCTGCATGGCACTCATGAATTGTCTCGGAGGGTTCTCTGAATCACTCAGAACAGATACTAAATCATAATCTGTGTCTTCATACATGAAGCTGGCAACTTTTCTACCTTCTGTGTTTATGCACTTTACACCTCAACACCATTTCGGATTTCCATTTGTCTCTCCAGCATGTTTTTGATCTTCCTACTGTCGTTATTATAACGCACTGGAAGCGTTTGAATAATGTATTTATGCCGAGATTGCCTTGGAGTTTTAATTTTAGTACATGAATTATCAAGTTCAATCTTGAATTTTTTAGAAAACCTGTCACCATTTGAAAGATTGCTCTGGGATGGTTGGATGCCGGCAATGCGAAAAGCGGCTCTACAGTGGAATCCTCGGGATGGACCACAGCAGATGTTACGCATCGTTGAAATTTGGCTGCCCTTATTACCGTTATGGATGAGAGAAAATCTTCTTGAACAGGTTTGTTTTGGAATTCAAATGAAATTTGATGCTCGTGTAACAGTAAGTCAGCTAAACGTAGAGGTAACAGCATGCATTTTCCATTTGTAATCTCTGACCCACACCATTTGTTCGGCAAGCCCAGTTGCTATCACGCATCACTCGTAGTGACCTTTTACACGTGCCGGCAGTAGGTCTATAAGAAGTCATCGAGAGAAAGTGTCGACATAGCTATCTGGACGAGGAAGATTTGCATATAATGTGCTTAGCTGGAGGGATGCAACTGTGATCGAAGAAATTCGAGTTATTTGTGATCGGCGTGTTAATATATTCTGTTAACTCCAGACTGTTTTATCGGTTGTGGTATCCGCTTCATATATGTAATTCTTGCAGATCATCATCCCACGCATTGCGGCACAGGTAGACGAATGGAATCCACTGACTGATCGCATCCCAATTCATGTATGGCTTCATCCGTGGCTCGATGTTATGGGCGACCGATTGCAGCCTGTATTTTCGCCTATCCGGCAAAAACTGGCGAAAGCGCTCAGGGAGTGGAATCCAACAGACCGGAGGTTTGCTCACATTTCAGGATTCGTGGATAAACTAACTAGTCTGAGTTATGTTTTCGTTTAAAAGTTGTGTTTCTTAGGAGTTGCAACTTTTATGTTAGTTTTCTCAGGATTGCTTTACAAATGGAAATTAGAAATTATATTGTTTGGTGAAGGGTGGGCATTACGTATGGGTGAGTAATACAGTGGGAGAAAATTGCCATACAAACAACCTTCGAGTAAGTGAGGCTGTACTGACGATTCCCACTCCTACTCGTATCCGATGCTGTATTTGTGTTTACAGCTGAGGGATGAAACACAGAATTAAAGCTTACCTCATCTGTTTGGATGTGTAATTTTCAAAAAACATTATTAGATACTAATATACAAATACTGAGGATCGCAACCTGATGCAGAAAATTCAGGACTTGGTTATGAGCTACATCGCAACAACACCCCGCTTTGATTTTAGTAATAAAAATTGCCTGCAAAATCTTGGTTTTCACTAGCCAGATTCATTTCAGTGCTTTGTCGATGCTTCGCCCGTGGAAAGGCTGTTTTGCTGCAGCGACAATGTCAGCATTTTTGTCAATGAATATCATTCCAAAACTTGAGAAAGCTTTGCAAGAAATGATCTATGATCCAACGAAAAATCATGTGAGTGAGACAATTTTCCCATATACTTGGAGCACTTGCAACTCATAGTCTTGCTTCCTAGTTGTACATTTGCTAATTTATGTAGTTACTTTGTCAATGCCGCTTCACCTCTTAGCCAGCTTGCTATGGATTTTGATGTTATTTCATCCGTGAAAATTATCTGCTGAGTGCTTTTCTCAGCGGATGTACTTGACAGAATTTTGACAGAGTGATTCCACACCTGGAATCTTCATTAATTTTAGTGTTGAAAGTTTCCTACAAAATTTTATATATGTACACATAAAAGCACGGTAAGGTGCCAAAAATTAATCAGAGAAGCGTAAATGAATTTGAGCTGAGTTCTTCACTTTTTTGAAATTTTTTTAGCGGTATGACGAATTTTATGCCACATTGGATTGGATCGAATTAATCGGTGCAGAAGGTGTAGCGGGAATCTTATCACGAAGCTTCTTCCCCAAGGTATTATTATTATAACTGTTTTCTGTATTATAGTGATCGCATGGTATTTGAAGCTCTCAGCATGCTTGGCAGCTATTTTTAATTATTTTAGTAGAACAAATTTATGCTTATGAATAATTAATTTATTATGACTGCAATGATCTTCATTGATATTCGCTATGAATTCCTTGACAGCTGTTCTAAAGAACACAGGCATTTGGCGAAAATTGTGTTTGGCTGCTCGGTGGATAAGAGTAAGATGTAGAAATATCCGTCGTTTTTTGAGTCAGCTTCGAATCCACGCCACTGTTTGTCCCATTTTCTCAAACCCAAGTGGCTGATAGGTGGGACCAAGCACGAACGATCAATGTGAACGCTTGCTGTAAGCCTGGCCATGCCAGCGGTCTTCATAGAATACTGTTCTTTGATTTCGAAGGATCACCTTTTGTTATGCGTTTTGTGCTGTGTAACAGCAGTACAAAACGCATATTGTTACGGGGTTGTCTGT